ATAAGTAACTTTGTCTCTTGGTCAGACCAAAGGCATTTACCATGTCTCATTTGATGTACTGTTGTTTCTTGTATTTGTTCTCTATGTTGTGCTAAAAATATGGATTCTTATTAATATTATTATAATAATTATAATTATTTTATTTATTGATTCAAATTAAGTTTCAAAAAATAAAAATAGATATATATTATGTGATAGAACACTTGTTGATCATTAAAAATCAATATGATAATAAAAAGTTGCTTTAATAAAAATCTAGTTTGTGATAAAGATTAGCGTTATAAAATCAAGTTAGATTGCATTATTTGTTATTTATTTTCCAAATATATGTATTGTTACCATTTCTATATGGTTTTATGATTTTATATTTTTATACGTGAGTATAACATTGTTTGCGCCCCAAATCTTCTATTGCACCAATATATTTAAATAGAATAACTTAAATAAATGATTAAATAAATAGTTTATAAACAAGTAAAATATTAATAAATCAATTTATTAAATCAATTTAATATGACTTTGCAATTAAAATGAGATTATAACAAAATTAAACTAAAAACTAACTAATCAAATATGACTTTATAATTAAGATGAAAAATCATAAACAAGCTAAATCCAATATTAAAATACAATTTAAACAAAACTCAAATAAAAACTAAATAAAAACTAATTGAAACTTAAAGTAAAATAATAAAAGAATTTAACATTTTAATTATTTATTAACTTTCATAAAGAAATTATTTTAAAATCAATAAAAAACTTGATTTTGATTTTAAAATATGATTTTTGAGTTATTAGAGAACTTGACTGATTAATTCTAAACTAAAATACATGCTTTTTTTTTATAAATAATTAATAAATATTAAACTATCAATTAAATTTTAGAATGAAATAATTATTAAGTAATTATTTATATAATTATTTGTATGATTATTCAAATTATTCAAATAATTATTTGTATATTTATTTGTGTGATCACTTATATAATCACTTATATAATTATTTGAATAATTATTTTGAATAATCATTAATTAATTGATTAACTATTTAATAAAATAAAAAAAATATAATTATTTAATAAGAATTTGATAATAAAATTTTACTTATAATAATATAAAATTATGTATAAAAAATTATTAATTTACAAAATTATAGTATTAAAAATTTAGTATTAAAAAATAATTATTTAAAAATATTATTTTTTATTTGATTTAAATTATATATTTTTATATATAATTAATTTATTTAATTATAATTTATAAATATTTTTCTTATTTAATTTAAATAATTCTCAATATTTTATTTATAATTAGAATATTTATCTTACAACTAGTTAATTTTAAATAACTCAATTTTTTAATTCTATAAATATATTTATATATTTTTTATTTTGAAAATTTTTTATAAAATTTATTTTGTAATTGTATCTTTTTTTATTAATTAATTTTAGTTTTAATATTTTTGATTTAATTGATTTTGAAATAATATTAAAAATTATAAAGTAATAAATATATATTTAAAATTTTTATTTTATTAATAAAATATATTTATTTATTATTATAATAACAATTATCAAATTATAATTGTTTAATTAAATTACAAAATTAAATAACAATATATATTTTACTCTTAAAGAAATTATTAATAATAAGTATTAATAATAAATATTATTTTAAAAAATTATTAATAATAAGTATTATTTTAAAAATAAATATTATTTTAATATATTAAATATAAATAATTAAATATTCAAATAATAGATAATATATATATTTAATAATATTTATTATTTTTACTAAAGCAAAATATTATTTTTATATCATAATATTTAACTTCAAGTTATTTGTTAAATATTGTTACCTTGGTTTTGATTTTGTCTCAGCTGGTTTCTCCAACTATTGTTGTTTTGACCTGCATTTCGTCAAAAATTTTCAGGATTGGAGAGTTGACTGCACATTTTAGAGGTATGTCCAATTTCTCTATAATTATAACAAGTAGGTAATTGGTATTGTTGATTACAATTTTCAAAATTTCAGGATTGTTGTGGTGATTTATTTTCCATTTTATCCAATCGAATGGTTATTTATTAAATAGCTAAAGCTAGGATAATCATATTAAAAGAGTTTTGTGCCAAATTTTGATGACTTGATTTTGGTACAATTTCTTTTTCAGCTTCTTCAGATAGTTTTGCTGCATCAACAAGTTCTTGGAAGGTGTTTCCATTTTGAAAAGTGATTCATTTTCAAATAACTGAGTTCAGTTCATGTTGATATATTCTTTTCTTGTATGACAAGAGGTAATTTTCATCAGAATTCACTTTGCGAATTAGTTTATTGAATCAGTTGGTGTACTATTCAACAGATCCAGTTTGTTGCAAAGTTTCAAGCTTATCTTGCTATTTGTCCAGTTTTTGTTGAGTTCTAAATTGTTGTTCAAAGCAAATCTTGAAATTTGTATGATCTTGATTGCCATTGAACCAGTTTTGTAAGGTATTGTTATATAATGATCTTTCATTATAATATTATTGGATTATAAATATCTCATATATTATTGGATAAAAATTATATCACGTGAAGCGAGCGAACAAGCGAGCGAA